CTTATTGCTCTTTAATTATTTATGCCTTGCATACTGGGGAGCTACCTCCTGTGTCGTTCTCTTCTCAGATCACTTGCAGGACCTAAGTATTTCGACTACTTTTGCATTACTATTTACTGGCTCTTATGAGCCCTATTTAAAGCGCACCTTGAATTCCCATCTTCTCAACATTTATCTTGAACATATTCGTGATGATGGTTGTCGTAGGTATCCTTGTTGTCCTATGACTTTATAGATAATCGCCTCACCATGAAATGAGAAGCAGACCCTAAAATCCCCTATTAAATCAACTTTATCTCTTTTCTCCTACTCTGGCAGACGCATGGGTGTCTATCAGTACATACCTTCTCATATAGATAATATGAAATTTGCCTTTCGTGTGAATTAATATTAGTCGTGGGTGGCTAATATGTTTGTGGTGCTGGTACGATATTTAAATGAGGTCGATGTTACCATCTTTCCTGACTGACCTTTTTTGAATACATGGTGACGTGAAATCTAATGCAAAAACGTATGCCTCTCTTTAGCTCATCATGAATAGAGTCGCTATCAGTTCAATATGAAGCTATTAGAGACTGCTGCATCTCGACATCATAGTCAGGATCCGTTTGATCTTCATTTTCTTGTAACGCTCCCTGGCTTCCTTCTCATATTGTTTCCTCAATCTTCTTAATATTAGTACTGAACATATTCCGGCTCAGTTCTTCAAATTTATGGCCTTCTTTGGTGTCATACGATCTTTTGGTTAATCTGCTCACGATTAAATCTGGAGCGAACTTAAAATCACTAATAATACTATCTCACTTTTTTGCCCTTATTCCAGCTTACCATCTCGGATTTTGTTCCATTTATTGTCATCCACTTCTTTTCTTCGTGTTCAGCTAGTCGACGCCTACAAAAATTTGGAGATGGAGCGCGATAATGTACGCGAGTTGTTTGGCACTAGCCAAGAAAAAGCGTTTCGCCGCATCTCCGAATTACAGGAACAGATTAATCTGGACCAGCAAGCGAAGCGCGATCTTGAGCTTAATTATCGTCTCCTACTAGACGAGAAAGACGAGTTCGCCAAGGTTCTACGCATTCAGGTGCCCTACCAAATTTACTTTTTACCAAGCTTTATAAATAACCCTTTCATCGATTGTATCTGATCGTGAGCTTTGCCTCTCTTTTTTTACTTATCTTTACCATTGTTCGATTTGGGTTAGTATTACGCAGCCAGCCTCGTCTCTGCCAACTTTCAGGTACAGAGGGACTTGGAAGAAACTATATATTGAGGCGTCTTTGGCTACTTTACAAATCCGATCTTATGCTTCCTGAAATATTAATAGGCGTTATCAGCTCTATGAAACTAAATGTCTTCAAAACGAAGAATGATCAACTACGATTTTTTCCGTCAATATATTTGTTTAATGATGCCTAATTTCCGTTTAGAAAAGTAATGAATTAGGATATGTTGTGCGTGGTTCCTCGCACTTTCCTTGATATCTACTTCTGAATATTGTCATATTTTCAGGACTAGAGGGAGTGCTGATTGTGTAAATGGTTTCCTATCATTCATGTCTTCACTTCAAATCTCCTAAAACCAGATTTGAGGCTAAGCAAGCCTCTTGCTCGGCGGTACGTCTTGTTATCTCACTCTCTCTCTCTTCTCCTATCCAACCTCAACAGATAATTTCCACTTAATTTCCTACACCCGTTCCCTCTGTTCAGGGTGTTGGCTGCTTTGCTGGTGTCTATAGATTGCCTAATTTTCCGCTTACTGGTATAGTCTCCATATCCAGCCAAGCGCTTGGCATTAGGCCAGTCTATCTGGTGTCCTGTGTGGGCTGTGTTTTTCCAATCTTGACTTTTGGACCCA